GTAAGGTACAGGGCAGGAAAAAGCCCGGAAAATCAGGCTTGGTCGCTCCACGAGACGGGCGTTCCTGTAAAGCACCCCGGGACCCCAAAGCACTATTCTTACTCAGGATCTCCTCCCGGTTTTTTAAGGAACCTGACCTCTGCTCTTCAGTCATGACTGTGCCTCTGCCAGGCATCACCACCGGGGGCTGTGTGAACATTTGTCTGGAAAAATATTTTTTGAAGAAATAGATGGGTACATTCAGAACTTGAAAACATTAGTATCTTTAAATAAACAAGGCTAATCAAGCCAGGCCGTGGAGGCTGCAGGTGGCCCTCGCGCACTTACGTTGGGGGACGGCTCTGCCCTTTCACACTGCATTTCTTCTTTTCTGTTTTCACCTGATTGTGCCACATGGTACGACCTGCCTTCGATGAACGTGATGTAGTCTTTGTACGAGCAGAGGGGGCCTGCCAGGATGCCCATGAAGTTACAGTTGTAACTTAAATACTCCAGAAGGCTCGGCATGCGCCTGCAATGAAAAGACATGCAACCCGTGAGAGGGAACATCCGCTTCCAGAAAACGTGACGGGAGCGACGTCCCCGACCTCACTTGTCTGACCATTTCTGAGATAAAATGAGCTTTAATTTTCATTTGCATCCACATGAGAAGAATTGAGAGGTTCAGGATGAAGGAATGCTCAACAGTATTTTTGGATAAGAGTTTACATACAGACCTCTACGAGCAACTACAAAGGGTTTGTACCTAACTCCTCCTGATGAGACAAACCCGAGGTGCACAAGATACGGCAGCAAGAATCATCGCTCACTAGTCACTCATTCTCTCAAGTCTTCGTGTGAACCAGCTACCGCACACGTGCTCCAAGGTCCAGAGACACTGCGGGACTCGAGACAGAGATCCCGCATTCTCAGGGCTTACAGAACAGTTGCAGGTAACATTAAAAAACACATGAAATATTTTCAGAGATGCTAAGTGCTTCAAGGAGAAGGGGTGTTTTATTACATCAGTAAGTCAGAGAAGGCCTCTCTGATCAGGAGACATCTGAGCAGTGAGCGAGGGAGTCGTGTGAGCCCAGGACAGGGACTCCAGGCGGAGGGAACAGCGAGGGCAAAATCCCAGAGACGGGGGCCCTCCTAGGAGCAGGGAGGCCGGCACGGCTGGAGCAGCCTGAACCAGGGAAAGAGGGAGGGAGTCAGAGGTGAGGTAACCGAGGGCCTGCCTTACAAGCCACGGAGGGAACTCTGGATGTAATTCTGAATGTGATGAAAAACTACAGCAGGGTTTTAAAACACCTATGTTTCAAAAGAACCCCTCCAGCCCATATGTGTGGACAGAGGAGGGTGTAAGTGGGAAGACCAGTCAGGAGGCCACTGGCCTCCAGGGGGCGGTGAGTGGCGCAGCCGCATCTGCGTGTGTTCCGGCAGGACAGCCGGGGGTCTGCGGATGGACCGGATATGGGGGGTGAGAGGGAAAGGTTCAAGGATGTCTTGTGATGTTTTTTAATTCAGTTGCTCTGAGGTCAGTGCAAACAACACATGGCGTCTAAAGCTAACCAAACATTCCAGTTCTCAATGCAGGTAACCGGGTGAAAAACAGTAACACAGAAGACTGGGTAAACCATGTATCTTCATCGTATCAATGCATTAGGAGTATCTTTGTAATTTTTAAAAACCAACTCATTTGTCAAGTCTGCCATCCACTGACAGATACAAATGATCATAAATAAAAGAACAACTACACCTCGGACAGGAAACAGGCTCTTGAATGTGTTACAACCCTCTTCCTCTCTAATATGAGAAGTGATTTCCCAAAAAAGCACAAATACACTCTGCAGCCAAGAGAAGCTGCAGAACCCCCTCACACGTATTTTTATAAAAAAACAATCAGAGCAAGCAGTGCTTGTGGTCCACCCATCACACAGCTGGGTTACCACTTAGCCACAACTCCTTTTAAATTCTTTCCTGAATTCTTTTCCTACATTTAGAAGTGTTTTGAATTTGACACAACATTGTAAAATGACTGTAACTCAATACAAAAAATGTTTAAAAAAAGAAATGTTTTGAACCTTACGTATTCGGTCTTGAGGGCTCAAAACTGATGAGAGCGGAGGGCGTCTGGCAGATCTGCTCCTGCAGGTCTCCCCATGGAGAGCTGGCGTGGGGAGGGGTCCTCCCACCCCAAACACTGGACACGCGCCCCGGAATCGCAAGGCTGCCAAAGGGCTCCTTGTGCTCCGGCAACACCGCTCACTTCAAGACCAAAACACCACCAGGGCATCAATCTAACCAAGTCAAACTATGTATCGCAATCTGCAAGGACAGGAGATAATTCTGAACCATGAAATTCACTGAAGTAATGCCGGCTCAAATGTCATATCAAATGACAAGTCTTGTTCTCTTCCACCAGGAAAGAAGTAGGTAACTATAGCACACGCTATTAAAATTGGAACTGAGTACAGGAGTAATCCTCTATTCATGACACTGATGAAAGATTTACTCTTTCACCCCATATTTGTTTGCTATCAACTATGTGTTGTCTCAGGTTTGTCTTCTCATTCTCGGCATTACTGGCATTTTTGGACACTACTGCTTTGCTGTAGGGACTGTCCTGTGCACTGTGGGATGCTTGGCAACATCCCTGGCCCTTGCCCGTCAGAAGTCAGTAGCACACCCCTCTCCTTTGTGACAACTGAAAATGTGTGTCCTGGGTGGCAAGTGAAAAAGCCATTTCAAGGACTGAGTGATCAAATGGGTCCAAGGGTGCTGAGAGGTTGAGGAACATGTGAAAGGAGGCTGACAGTCACATCTGCCAAAGTTAAGGGCAAACTGGAAAGAATGGCAGCAGACCAGCAGTGGGTTAATTGATACTTGTTACAAACTCTGCTACCATCCTACCTGAGCGTGGGGGAGGGAGTGCTGGGAGTCTAGGAGACAGGAGAACCCCACAGCCCCTGACAGAGAGTGGGAAAGGAAGTGGATGGAGGAAATGTGGCAGAGCTGTGGGCAAGCCTCATGTCCAGAATGCTGAATTTGGGGTGACCAATTCAGAATGAGTCCAGTCGGCAAGAGAGCGTTTGTCCACTCCGCCCTCTTCTACTGTTGAGGTAGGTGGAGAGCTGGATTTAACCAGGTCTGGGGTTTAGTCAGGTGGCCACGTGGGAGGGACGGGGAGACAGAGGCTGACTGTGTGTTAACAAGCAGTTACTGGAATGGACCGAGGACTCCCAAAGATCACAGAATCCAGATCAAATTAACCTCTCACAAACTAAAGATATTCAAGTGTATATTCAAGACTGACTATGGTGAGTATCAAGACAGAATAATTTTTAAAATGGGGAAAATACAAGAATATTCTCAAGACCTACTTCCTGGATCAAAGGCGAATGCTTAGGGTAGCATCTACCTACGGCACAAATCATCTCATTCTTCTGACAGCCATGCAGGTATCAGGTCTAGATTTGCAGGAAACAACGTGCTATGCAGGAAGTTTTTCTTTAAGTAAAACAAGTATTTAATTTCTAATTATATTAGATTAAGACAGGCCCTGCCAAGAAATTAAGCTATCCCTTAGACGGGTCAACAGAGGACCTACAGTACGTGAAGCAGGGGCCTAGCCCAGAGCAAATTCCTCAAATAACCATGAGAATATCTTGCTGGTTCTTCCTTATTTCAAAACACAGCATCTAATTCCAGTACCTGCCATCAAGTTATCGGTCTTTAAGTGGTAGCTGCAATTATTACCTGTAATTACTACCCAAAGACCGTAAGTCTTGCCTGTCTTCAGGGAACTCAGAGCCTCGCAGCAGAGACAGAAAATTTCGCAGACAGCCTCACGGCACACAGGAGGTGCACACTGTACGATGGTATGTTCAAGGCACTGTGGGAGCCTCAGAAGGGATGCTTGGCTGGGGGAGGGTATAGCTCAGGTGATAGAGCACATGCCTAGCATGCACAAGATCCTGGGTTCAATCCCCAGTACCTCCTCCAAGAACAAATAAATAAATAAACCTAATTACCTCCCCCACAAAAAATAAATAAATAAATAAAATTTAAAAAAAGAAGAAGAAGAAGGGAGCCCAGCCCAGCGAGATGTGGTGGCAGGAGGTGCGCAGAGGGAGGAAGGTTTGGTGTTCGTGAACTGAGCGCCTGCAGGAAGACAAGTCAGCCTTGGCCATGTAAGTAAGTGTGCGTCCCCAGCAGAGGGAGCGTGAACCACAAAGGAGACGATGCGGAGGCACGTACCTGACTGCTAAGCCTCTCTGCGAGGGAGTCAGTTCCTCATCCTTCCGGAACATCCCTGAGAAATAAAAATAGGTAATTTATCAATTATGATTTCTCCCAAGAAAAAAAAGGTATTTCCTCCCATTCGCTCTCATCACTTCCCTCATTTGAAATTCATGCTGTAATCACTATTTTGGTGTAACTAGCCCCCTTCGTTCTCCTTGCAACACAGGCCCAAACGTGCGAGAGGACCATCTATCTGCACGCAATCCAGCGCGTCTGTCTCTGTGTAAGATAAATAACACAAGTCAGGGAACTAACTGGACTCCTTTCTAAAGGAAATTATTGCTATGTCAAAAAATTCCCCAATGCTAGCGTAATTAACAGTAAACATGATGACTTTTCAGAAGGAGACACCAAAGTGTTTCTATAATTGGATGATGCCAATGACTAACCTCAGCGGTACGGACTAGCAGCTCGGAATAAAGCAGGGAAGGATCTCCTCACTTCTACGTGACTCTAGTGAATGGAACTGGACTTAATATACCATCTTCGTCCACTTCATCACCTCCCCCAAACAGGAAAGTATTACTCACAATTACACATCAACTTGCTAGAGCTTAAATCCGATTTAAGGACCCAGGAGAGGCCTAAGGTAAGAGGCAACAGACTAAAAAAATACATGTAGGTCCCCCCAAGCAGATGGCACAGGATGGGCGACGGACACAGGGAGGCTGGAAAACCATCCGGGCTACAGATAAATGACTGTCCTGAAGGGGACGCTCCTGTAACTCTGGAGACCCAGAGCCCTGACTGCTGGCATTTGCTGTGGCACGGTGTCCGCAGAGGGTACAGAATACGAATATATAAATATTTACACTAAAAATATATGTAAGTGTGTGTGTGCATGTGTGTGTATAAGGGAGGTGGGGCAGGGGAAACCATTCACATCTGAGTAAGTGTGTAACACAGAGAAGAAGCAGGATCAATAAAACCTGGTTTAGACCAAATGTCTGTTTCCTTTATATTTTAAATTGTCACTAATGTGGGTCATATGTCTGAACTGCACTATTTTACTTTGTTTTTGTCACTGGACCGAATGCAAAATTAAGAATAAACAGTGAAGGAGGATGAGTACACTTTAATAACCTTAAGCAGAATTAAATATTTTCCCATATCTTACCTCCACCCCTCTCCTTCCTCTAGTAGAGAGCAAAAATTATGGTTATACCTCAAATACAATCAGATAAGATTGTTTGAATACAACTTCTCCAGTGATGAAAAATTAATTTCCAAATTCTTACCATCATGAATTTCACAAGCCAAACTAGTGATCTTCTGGGTAATTATCATCATTGGGCTGTGACAAAATAAAAAAATAAGTATTTCAAAAGAAGACATTTAAAATGATACTTACAACATATGAAAGTTTATTCTGTGTATATGTACAAAATCCTGAAATTTTTTAACATTAAAAAGAAGACCCCCAGGTATTTCAAAGAGGTCACTCAGGAGCTGCCGTGTTTGGGGGAGGTTTAGGAGCTGGGGAACGGGGCCCCGCCCCTTACTTTTAAAAGCAGAAAGGCAGGAAGGAAGGAGGGGAGGAGGAAGGAAGGGAAGACAAGGCTCATCCTCCAGAAGAAGCCCCGCGTGAGCAGGGATGCAGCCCCGCCTCCTCCCTTCACGCTCTGGGACCTGAGGCCAGGGCTGAGGACCACATGGGCACCGGATGCACGGCTACCGACTCTGACTCCGGATTTTTCAATAAACTGTGCTGGCTTTTGCCTCAAGGCTTAATTTAAAGATGGAAAGTAAGTTGCCAGGGAAAATAGGAATAGGTAGAAAATGAAGAGTCCGGTGGGGAAACGTGGAGCAAAAACAGAAAGAGGGAAATGAGGAAAAAGGGGGAGGAGGAAGTCAGGATCCCCACTCCAGGCGGCAGGCCGGGGCGGGGGGGGTGCTGTTAAAACGCCCTAGAGCAGCACCTACCGCCACAAACCACGCACACGCCACAGGAAGAGGACTTAGATCTATGTCACAAGCAAGAACATGGCCATTGTTCTTCCATTCTTCATAATCTCTAACTGAATGGATAACTTGGAAAGGAAAAAAAATCCACACAAGAAAACTACCAGGCTACATTTTCATCCTTTTTTGCTAGTTTGCAGGCGTCAGTATTAGAGTCCTAACCCTAAGCTACTTGTTGTATTTGGGGCTCTCAATAAGACAAGGAGTTAGTCGTGCTTTGGCTCATGCAGGCCGTGAGCTCTCCCTCCTGGGAGCATGCCAGACCCCCCCACCCCCCAGGGAAAGGCTGCAGCAGAAGCAGGCCGGGGGCTCAGACCCCCAGGAAGACCCCGCCCCCACTGCTCAGAGCAGGAGACAGCATCTCCATCACCAGCATCTTTCAATGCATAAAGAAAGGAGGTGATTTCTCACCACGCCAGCAATGCCAGTGAGGGTTTATTTGAAGCGTTCAGACCACTGGCTAGGAGATGCCCAGACCCCAGAGCTCACAGCTCCTTGCCCACGTCACAGGCAAGGTCTCGCACAAAGCCCGCCGGGGGTGGTCTGGTGGTGGTCTTCAACTCAAAGTGCGAAAAGAAGGAGGCTTCCTCCCGGGTTCCCTCAAAGCCAGGCCTTACATTTACACCACTCACTCTCCGGAAATGACTTCTCGGCCAGCCTGACCCCTAGGCTGCTTTCAACACCCAGCTGCCGGTTTAACTTTGCAAGATATTTTTACATGCCTTTGAGGATTGTAAATATGTCTTATAATTTCCATTTCCCTGGGGGAAAAGAATCATTTTTCTCACCCTCCCTAATTCCCTTCATAGTTTAGCTCAAAATGAATTATAATATATCCTTTAGCTCTAAATTTTAGTTCTCACAGCTCCTTAAAACATCACAAAAACAACTGACAAAATAATTATTAAATTTATTTTATCAACTCAGTGACAAATTAAACCGTTAGGTCTACACACATAAGATGTTACAAAAAGGCAAGATTGTGCTTTTGGAGTTCACGCCCTCACTGTACACACTGGCTACCCGGGAGCCCCATGCAAGTTCTCCTCCATCAGGTGTGTGGGATGCAGGCTCTCCTGTGAAAGTGAGCTGGGCTGGGGACTGGGTGATGTGAGGCTGTACTGCTGGTACCAAGAATTATGCTCCCTAAAAGAGAAGGAAAGATGGCGGGGAGCTCCGGACTCTCCACATGTGGCTCTCTCCACTTCAACTGCTCTTCCTGGAGCTGTTGTGCAAGATTCAAGTCTCAGCTTAGAAGTCCCTTTGTACAAGGGGTTGGGGACAGCTCTCCCTCAGACAGCCACCTCTGCCCAAATGCAACACACACCCTTCATTTCATCTCGGCTGCTTGTCTTGTTTCCTGCAATGAATTTTTCACATTCATGGGTGTTTCATTTATCAAATTATGGTGATGTTTTAAAATCTGTCTTTCCTTTTTGGAAGGTCCATGAGATAAAGACCTGACCGTCTTTTTCACCACTGAATCTCTAGTACCTAGAACAGTGCCTGGCACAAGGTATGTGCTGAATAAATATTTCTAAAATACCAAATTAACTGAATCTTCTGAGCGTCCAGTCAAGATCTAGTACTGTAGGTTGACTATACTCCCCCCGACCTGTCCGTTCTCATCTGTGCTTGAAAACATCTACCACACTGCTCTGTAGTTACTTACTTTTCTGTCACCACAAAAACCATGAACTTACTGCCTGATTTATCTCTGCACCTTCAGTACCTGACGTACAGTCAGGCTCAAAGTATTAGCTGGTTTGCAAAAGAGTCTCACATCACTTTACTGTTTCCTTTACTGATGATCCTTGACGCTGAACATTTCGTTTTAAAGGGGTGGCTGTCCCCTAGCCTTTGTTCCAGCCTGTCTCAGGTGCGTTCAGGGGTGGCTAACATGAGAGTAAGATGACAGAAGATGAAATAAGTGCTGAGGGACCGTGAAGGAGGATCTTGTAAAGAAAAGTAAAGAAGCACTACGGGGAAAGTTCAGTAAGGGATGAAGGGAGGAATGAGAGCTCAGAGAGTAAAGCCGAGGGAAAACGGACCGGTGAGTCCATCACAGGCACATGTGCGCATGGGCGGGAGACAGACCAGAGTGATGCGGGGGGAGGACCAGCCTCATCCACTGCACAGAACCCAGCGCGCGGGGAAAACTCCTCTAAATGAGGACAATCCCGCGGTTTACAAAGAGATAAACAGGAGTGAGTTTTCTCAACAGTGCAATTTTGTTCATAAATACCTGTCTGGTGACAATTAGAGTGACTTGCACAATTTTCACTTACACCTCTGCTGACACTTTAACGACCGGTTTGCTTTGCATCTAGCGGAGCCTCCAACATCTAATCGCTTCCCAGGTCCTAGGAAGTCTGCGATAACTTGACGTGAATCAGAAAGACTCCTGTTTCCCTGGGGGAGGCTATGCCACGCAGGAGGGGGAGAAGCCTTTGGCCTCAGCCCCTCCAGCAAGTGAGGTCAGCGCCTGGGTGGAGCCACCGGACCGTCCACATGATGACATCGTTAGATTAAGGTGAATCACAGGAATTTTCTCCCGCTGACACTCTGCTAGGAACGCGGAAAGATACGGAGTCTGACTGCTCAAAGTAAGTACTTTAACGGATGAAACAGTTTCAAGTAATATCAAAAAAAATTATTCATCTGATGTAAAGAACCAAAACACTCTGGACTTCTTATGATTTTTTTAAAAAAGGATACAAATTAACTTTGGTTTTTTTTTAACTAAAAAATTGACATGCATTTTTTT